ATGGCTATACGCACTCCGCTTTTCTCGTATAAAAAGAGTCGACACAACGAGTTTCCTAAGCGGTGCCATGGCGTAGTGGTTAGGGTGTCCGCTTCATACGCAAGTGGACGCGGGTTCGATCCACGGTGGGCCTACTTTTTTTTTTTTTTTTCTTTTTCTCAAAACATTTTGTTTTGTTGAGGCATTTGGCGATATTTACGACATTTCCTTTTTTGCAATGAACAGTAAAAAAAAAAAAAAAAAAAATCGAATGTTGTCGAGAAACTTTGCAGAACTAAATGGTATCGGACTCCCTTTTTGGAGGTGCGATCGGGGACAGCGGGGCTTGGATTGCCGGCTGGACGCCGCGAAGCGGCGTGTACTGGTTACGCTTAGTAATTAGCAGCCGATACTGTCGCCGCGAAGCGGCGTGAACGCAGGCGGGGGGCTGTGTTAACGAGCGCCCCAGTGATTCACGCGCCGTTCGAAAAGGGTGGCCCGAGCGGCATGATCTCTCGGAGGAGTGCGTATAGCCATTTCCGCGCGAAGCGCACTCCGGAGTGCGTATAGCTTTACTCAAAGTTTAAAGCGACGCAAATCCGTGATTTCGTTCCTTTCGAGGAAATAAGTGTCAAACGAACGCATATATGACAGTCCCCAATCAATGTTAATAAAAAGAGCAGAACAAACTCACCGCTTTGATAACAACAAGGTAGTTTAACGTAGAACAGTCGCAACCGCAAAAATCACCAAGCGCCTTTACCCCTCGACAAAACAAGCGCGGTAGCAAAACAAGGAAAACAAGCGAGCGGATATGGGTAGATGAAGAGATAGCGGTAGTGTGATTGTACTAGACAAAAATCTCACCTCGAGCCTTTTCGACTAAGGGGTAACTAGCGCCACCTCGTTTCGGAACCTATATTATAAGTTGTTTAACAGTGCAATAAAGGATATTTTAAAGAGTAAGAACCGTTGTCTATTAGTCTAAACCGAATAAGACAATTTTCAGCTTGTTGCAAACAACTTTTGTTGTTGTTTACAGAATCGTAACTTTAGATTTACGGACAAGTCAACCGTATTTCAGATTACGGATGCTTCTCCGTAGCTCTTAATGAGAAGTTCTACGTTTTTTTACGGAACGTTTTTACCGTGTACCGTATTAGCAGTGCAAAAACGGCTCCCTAAAACTCTCTAATAGGAAGTTTTGCGAAACCTTTTTTTGCACATACGATGCAGTACGCACTGCGCACATGCTAGTTTTCTGCGGTAGTGCATGCGCAGTTCGTACCGGTGGGCATATCGTACGGTATCGGACGTGCAAAAACGGTTCCTTAAAACTATCTTATAGGAAGTTTTAGGGAGCCGTTTTTGCACATTCGATACGGTACGGTGGGCTCTCCGGTACGAACTGTTATATGCGCAGTTCCCACCGGAGTGCCTATCGTACCGTATCGGAACTGCCCAAAAAGGGTTCCCTAATACCCCTGTCAGACGGCCACTTAAAAAGACCTTTTCGCCAAAAGACCATAAGTGTAAATGTCATCTAAGCAGTGCCACACAGAATATCAAATATCATTTAGCGTAAAGGTCGTTTTCGTGAACCTGAGTTTACGCGACTCCTTTACGGCTGCCAACGTTACTCGAAGAACGTTAACGGCTGCTAAAGGCGTACTCTCGTCAGCAGCAGTCTACAGTAGAGAAGCAAATTGAAATAACATATCGTGCTAAAATATAAAAGCAAAGTTTTGGTTTTTGAAAACGAGCGAAGTCCACGTATATTCTGTTGAGACCTCGCTCACCTAATAGTTGTCTGTACCCTCGGCCCCAGCTAGCTAGAAGGTCTCGTCGTCCCGCCAGTCCCGCTGCTCGCATTGTCCGCTTCGGAACTTTGGCTTTCCTCCTCTCGATTTTTCTTAGAACCATAGTTATCTAGGTTTTATTTCTCTACTTTATATTTGATCATCCTTTAATTGTGTATTACTACCTGTACTGTATGTATTTAATATCTTTTTCACGTATATATTCCTGTGTCTCACTCTCGTGTCGTGCGACATGTCGAACGACGGAGAAACGTCCACGACTAAGAAGGGGTCGCCGCGCTTCTATTAGAGCGTTGAGACGACCCGGGCGCTGATACGACTTTGGGGGGATCGGCTGTAGGTCCTCCGACGCGTGGGATGAAACTCAAGCGCGAGCACGACGCCGAACCGAACAGGGCAATAGCGTAGCAGAAGCACGAAAGGGAGCGGGAGCACTGGTCAGTGAACAGGGGGCGCGCGCACGGGGCAACGTTCGGGCTTAAAGCCACTTTATACGGAAAAGTAGCGACATCCCCTGAAGAATGCCGCCTGCTATCTTTTAGCGATCCAGGCGTCGCTACCGTCGACGCCCAAGAGTGCGAAAGAACAATAACTTAAGATAAAGGAGAGTGCACGGCGAAGGAGGAGTTGCCATCCAATCAAGTAACACCGAAAGTGTAACGTAACGGCTTCCATCGTCTTCGAGAATATTCTTCTCGGTTCATCCACTAAAACGCAGAGGGTGTACTGCGATAGTGCTCTTTAGTTCGTGCATCTGTCGTTATCTTGGAGAGATCCAGGCGGCGCTACCGACCATGCGAGAGTGCGAAAGTGCAAAAAATAAACATAAAACGTGTGTTCGTCAAGGGAGGAGGGTGATGATGTCGCTACCTTTCCTTATCCAGGGGACTTATTAGGATAGAATGAGCAGGAGACGCTCAGGATTGCCGCTAATTGCTAAAAAAACACTTTGCTTGGGCTTAAAGTGGACTTTGTTGTAATCACTCGACTGAATTCGTCATTTTTTGAATATTTGGTTTGCTTAGAAGTTAGGAAAGACCTAAAAATATTTAAATCGTAAAAATATTATTGTTTCAGCGTGAATTCGATTTATGCCTTTGAACGAGCTACGCGACTTTAATCTCTGTAAACATCGTCTAAATGACTTTTGCTTGCGCTGTCTGGCACGGTAGAACTTAAAGGTAGTACCTTGAAAATCCTAAAGGGCTTCGGCGTAAAGGTCATTTTAAGTGCCTGTCTGACAGGTATAAAACCAACTATTGACTTCATGTGATCGTACCGTCGGTCGCGGTTGGACTTCACGTTAAACGGAGGGAACACGTGACTAAAAATACTATATTATTTCACCTCGTCGTCACTCCGGGCAAAACCTCCGGGGCACATTGCGCCTCCGGTTTCAAAAGCGGGCGAGAAAACTGATCAATAAACATCTAGAATTTAACAATAATTATCGTACATGCAGCGATTACTGTATTCCCCCGATACTACTCAATGAAGTTAAGTGCAAGATTTTAAGTTAAGTAGCCCACTGATAGCGAAGGTCCTCCCGTCTAATGTCCTAGTCAAAAAATTTTACACTGGCGTGACATAAAACAACATGACAGCATGAACTTTTTCACTAGTACTGCACCTGGCTTTTGGTGCATATTTGTATCTAATGTCCACCAAGCTAAATACAAAAAAAAAACGGCGAGGACAGCATATTCAGTGCAGTAAGACGTCATTATTTATAAAATCCATTCCCATGAAAAGGGTAGTGCCCTGTATACGTTTTCTGAACTCCCTCATTGTAAAACTCCCTGACGTAGCGCCACCACAAGGATCTACTGTCGGCATTGCAATTGCGAAGACGATTCATCTCACATCAATTTGGGATCTGCGGAGGCACATGGTCCACACCTGTTTCGGACAAACGCGGGATTCTTGGCAAACTGCGTGTTGGTTAAAAACTTAAAATTACAATATCGCGAGAAATCGTGGAAACTCTCCAGATGTACTCTCCAGCTTGGCCAATTCAGCCGCTTGTCGTTCTCACTGAAAGCCGAACTCGGCGCCTTCGCTCCCCAAAAAGTTCTCAGATCAATGTAAACATCGTTTTTTTTTAGTTTGTTTATTCCGTAAAGTTATTTCACGGATTTTTTAAGAGATTAGCCTTGATTAAGGAGGATAGTTAAATAAGTTTTATTTCAGTTTTTCGATTATTCTCTCATTTGGTATAATTGCGTTTTATGTGGAACGTACAGCCGGGGTCATACTGGTCGTACAACATAACAAAATAGTCTGCAAATACGAGTCACCGCAATATCCGTGGTTTGAATGCCGCGTGCCAACTTTCCACTTTGAACTCATTGCCATGCCGCATTCGAAGCACGGATTTCGCGTGGACTCGCGTTAGAGTCTGTATGCAGACTGTCTTTTCTATGATGTGTAACCAGTGTGACCCCGGCATAACAGACGCTAGCTCTAGTCTCAACCAGCGAGGTACACGGTGCCGTGTCAGCGTTGGGAAGTCTTCCTCCTGTATTAGTCTGAATGCGAAAGCATCGACCGTCCCATGGAGCGAGCCGACGTCATCAGCCGCGCCAAACGGCAGCTAAATTCCCCTCTCCCAATGGAGCGAAGAGAAGACGCGATGTAAGGCATCTCAGCTTTGAAGGCCCGCAAAAAGCCACGCAAAACGTCAACTAAATGAACCCGAAATCAGATGGATATGGCGACCGCGCGTTATTTTCAAGGAGAGCCTGCTAGGGCATACCCCGGAGCGGCTGTACGCCAATGGCAGCGCGGCGCGCCCAATTCAGAAGAACGCGCGCAAGAACGAAATTCATGTTTTCGCATTCACAATTCATAAAAAGTGTTTAGGTGTACCTAGAGCTTTTTGGGGTTTTTTTGCTTGCCCTTGTTTTTTTATGTTTTTACAGTTGGCGTAGTCTTCTGGAAGCATACCAGAGTCCTCTCTTCTCCCTCTTGTTTTGTTGTTTTCTGCACGGCTGCGACTGTGGCCGGCGGAGCTCGCGGTGCAGCTTTCTAACAGCCGGCCAACAAGGCCAAAAGACTAGGCCTACTTTTTCTGACCTTAGCACAATTCACTTTCTTTTTTCAAGGCTAAATCAAAGATAGCTTCCGTAACATTGCAATTTCGTATTAAAAACATATACTCTGTCTGACTATTTTAATAGTACTGTTGCTGTTCATTCGCAGGAGGTGAATGGAACGGCTGCGAGCGGAGCAACTATCTGGTGGTTATTCTTGTCGCAGTCACGCTCATCACCGTCTTTCTCCTCTTTCTGCTCGTCATCGTCACCAGGTGTCGCAACAAGAAGAGGTTAAAGGAAAACATCGGTGAGACTACACCTGCCTACCTCTCAACGGCTTCGCCCATCACAGTTTTGTTCACTACTTTGCATGTCTGGAAAAGACGCCGGCATTGGACAAGTGCCTTTCGAAGGGCGGTTAATTCTAATCCAACAACAACGAAAAAAAGACGACCGTCTTTATTTTTTTTGGGGGGACCGGGCACGTCCCACGGTCTCTCATTTAGTAGCTTCTGTCTTTGAAAGTTGTTTATAACGTTAAAGCAGATTTAGGTTCGTACGTTGGTGTTTCAACGGCAGCTTCTTTTTTTTAAAATTTCATATAACCCGCGAATATAAATATGAACATAGAGAGATAAAAATGCGAAGTTAGTTGACCATTCAGTACGTCGGAAGAACCGGCTAGCCTTTCAGCGCGTTGAGTTTTGCATTCGTCTCAATTTATGTGTTAAGAGTCGCACGCTCAACGTACCTTAACCTGTGAGACGCCACCGTTTCTTTACAATGGGGGTTACCTTTTTAGTGTCATTTTCGAAAAGAGAGGAAGCGCGCGTGCCTAGCTTTAACCGGCGTTCAACAAAGCGCTCCTTTAACTGTCGGTAGATTGTCACGGAAGGTTGTCCCCGAGTGTAGTTTTCTTTGTAGCTTCAGGAATTATTTTTTAATGATAAATGAGATTTTGTTTCATCACGTGTTGCGGCTACCTCAAAGCGGCTTTTTCCTATAGATAGCGATAGGTTAAGAAACACAATCAATTACTTATTACGATCCCCTTTCTTGCTTCGTGTTTCGTTTTCCAGCGGTCTTATCAGCTGATGTTGCAAACTCACTGGCTGCGGAGTAATACTGAAATGATCGGAACTCACCACACCTTGTGTTTGTGACTATAGTGAGGTGGTAGGGTGATACTGACACGGTTCTTTAATGCCAGCGGGGAAGAAACATCTCTTACGCACTACGCAAACCCTTTTCTTGGTGACCAACCTTAACCACCAGAAGCGATTTTTTTTTTGTCTGCGTTACGTTTCTATGACAAAATTAAAAATGTAAAATGAATTCTTTCTTTTTTGTCTTGTACAATATTTTAATGTACGCTTTCTCTCTCTCGCCCTTTCTCTCTCCTTTTCTCTTAGGCAATAAAATAGTAGAAAACGGCAAAGCGTAAGTGTGGTCCACTGCTTTACACATCTCGTTAATATATATACAGGGCGTTTTTTTTGTTTTTTTTTTTTGCTTTTTTAGGGGGCGAGACGTTACCGAAAGCACCTAACCAGTTATTAAATTTTGGTTAAGACATTCCTTTTGTTGCCTTAGGCGCGGAGTTGCACCTGGGGGTTCACAAGAGCGTTTTACAGGAAGAAAAAGTATATGAATGCCCTTGGGTCGTAAAGAAACCTTCTGTGTCAGTTCTAAAATGATAGTTTCCGGTGATATCAAAGCGCACTTTATTTTTTTAAAGGGCACTCTTAATGCATTTAATATAACAAAATAACAAAAATTGGGTTGAAAAAACTTAGCTTTTTGTTATGAAAGAGTTATTGGGATCTTTACGCTTCTACGAAATATTGTTGTGTTTAAAACCTGATTAAGTGTCAGCTGCTTATTACTCTCGTGCCTTCTTTCTTCTTTTCATTAACTTGCAGTTCAATGCCTGAACTCTGCACGGATACAAGGGACAGCAAGAACATCCTTTGGCCGGTCTAAAAAATGGGGAAAAATGACACTAAAATAATTTGGTTGTCACCAACGTTGTTGGTGATAATATCGGCATTCTTATCGTCTCCATGCTTATCAAGTACACTATGGAGAGACTATCTAACTTAAAAACCACTGTGTTGTCCACTGTGTGGATGTCGTAATATTCCCACCGATGGAGCGTGGGCCCTGATATAAAATTGTGCGTCTATTAAGATTAACCTGCGCACACAATAGAAAACAATAAAGGTTTTTATCAACATCTGCGGCGTCCATGCTGGCTTCACAGACAGGACTTGACCCTAGCTCAAGCCTGGCTTGCTGTAATCATAAGGAACCTTTTCACGCATCGTTTGGTCAGGAACGTTCTAAGCAAGCAAACTCTACACGTGTTTTAGTCAAACGTAGAATGTTCCACGATAATTATACGATTCATGTAAATATTGATATCTACCAAGAGTCGAACACTGCCCTTTGTATAAACTATAAAATCGCTCCTAACTCAGATACGCCGTATTCACAAGACGCAGCTGTTTTTTTAGTTATGCCAACATCCCTTTTGTTATAATATCACTTAGTTATAAAATTATGCCAACATCTCTTTTGGGTTAATTGTAAAGGGACTTTCGCACCGCCAGTCATGTGTCAAAGCAGGTGAGTATTTCAACGCGGTGGCTGTCGGCAGGGCCGTAACCAGGGGGGGGGGGGGGGGAATTAGGGGGTTCTGACCCCCCCCCCCCCCGAAATTTTTTTCTGGGTACGGCCCTGATGTACCGAACCCCGCAAAGCACTTAAGATATGCGCAGATTTCGTGTTTGTGCCCTCGACCTAAGTACGAATAGAATGGATACGAATTGCAACTGGGGTTTAAAACTTCACGAGAGCGATTGCTCTGAACGTGAAAAATTATTTCGCTGGCAGTCGGTCGTAGGTCGGAGGTCCTCTAGGCTTGGTGGTAGCGGCATGGGGAAGGCAACTAGCGACTTCTCATAAAACGCAGTGTCGTCCAGGTGAATCGGCAAAAGTTATACACCAACTTTTATACCTTTCCATTACCAGGAATTAAATTCCTGACAGTTCTTTTTTTCTTCAGATTACAAGCGATTTGAAAGTATCCTTTTATTACCTTTTTAGCAAAGCGGATGACCAGCCCCGGTACAGTGCATGGTACATGGTCGGTGCACTTGCAGCCAGCCGATTTTAATCTCCACCTCTGGGCACGCGCAGTGGCGCCGGTCGGCTACCGGGTACCAAACCTGGACCGGTTCTCCGGCTTGCTATAACTCTCCATTATATGCCACCAATGCACATGATTTATAGGCGAAAATAAGACAATAGACATTTTCAAAATGGCCGCCGTTGTCCTCGAAACCCCCCCCCCCGAAATTTTTTTCTGGGTACGGCCCTGGCTGTCGGCGCTCGTTCTCAAACCAAACAGAATAGAGGAACACAAGAACTCTTAATAACTTCTCAGGAGAAAATTAAGTTAGCCAGTTTCATTTATTTTAACAGAAAGGAATGACTACAGCAAAACTAAAATATGTCCCCCACCTGCGAAAACCCATGAGCCATCGGCCTAATTTGATAATATCGAATACCAGCGATAATGCAAAAATTATGGAGTGAATAAACATTTTCTATTTTCAGCGTCTGTTTTTATGTTTAAATAGCTTCCTAGTTTTTGCACTAGTTTTTTACGACTTTCTGTTTTATCATAGTGATAAACCTAATTCCTGAGCTAGTTCCATTGTGAAGACACAGAGAACAAAAAAATTGAACTTTCTTTTTTTTTTTATAAAGTTGTGTATTTATTTTTGAAGTTAAAAATTTACGAGCTCCAAAGTACTTTTACCTGAAGCCTGATTCACATGGTGCGATTTCACTTGCGATTTTGCAATGGCGACGTTGCTCGTGCGGCAAATAATGCGGAACGGGTGCAGCGCGGCTCAACGTCGCAGATGCAAACTCGCAAAAAAAAAAAAAAAATATTGTTAGGTGAATAAGGTTTAATGACTTGTTGAAAGTATTTTCCAGTGCTAAAAACTGCCTTAAAATATATTGATGCTCATGCGTTTCATTGTTTCTGGCGGTTTTTGTTTTACCTCTTCGACACTGGCCAAGAGTTTCCTTTTGGTAACTTTTACATCCCGGGTAACAAAGAAATAACACGGACTAAGGTTGAGTGAACAGGGATGGTGGACTACGGGAGTCATCCCGTTTTTGGTCGAAAACTGCTGAACATTCATCGCTGTTCAGCATTTTTTTTTTTTTTTAGCTGAAACAGCATGATGTTGTACCCCACCCTCCTTATTCGCAGCACCTGACCTGGCGTTACTTTTGTTTGTTTCCCCGGCGAAAATGTTCCCAATGGGGAACTTTTTGTCGATGTGGAAGTGAAACATAAAGTTGCAGAAGCACTGAAAGTCATTCATATCGACCACTAAAGGTTGTTCTAAGCATTGCAAGAAATATGTCTAGTGTATTGCAACAGGTGGAGAGGAGAATACGTAGTAGGTGACTAAAATTTCAGCGTGGAAAATTAGACAATTTGGTTAAAATAAATTCTTCTTTTTTGGGGGTCCCTCTTGGAAGATATAATCTTACGCTTAAGGTTTTTAAAGATAAAAACCTAGCAGGCTGCATCCAGCCGAGAGCCAAATATATTGTGAACAACAGTCTGAATATTATTATAGAGGGTTATTTTTACTGGTCTAGACTATGTTTATCTCGGCATACTACACATATCCTTACTGTTTTACAAAAAAAAAAAAAACATGATTTTAGGTATGATTTTACTTTTGTATTAACACGAAATGTGTTATATTAGCCGAATTCTATGGAAAAAAAAATAATGCTCGGAACAGTCTCGAGGCACCGTAATGAAGGATCGCCTTGAAGAACTATGACAAAGGACCGCCACGAAGGACAGCCACGAAGGGCTGTAACATTATGATGTCATGTTACTTTATGATATCATGCGACAAGATGGCACCATTGTGTCATGTGACATGATACTATGACATCACGTGACAATAAGGAGTTTTAGTAGATCGTTCCGATAGCCCCGAAAACGATACCCGACACGTAACAGTTGCCTTCGCGCATGCACCGTATACGGGTCGTTTAGGAGTTTCGGAATGATCATCGAAAACTATAGTGTGACGTCGCGTGACACCTTCATTTCATCTAACACCGTGCCGACACATGACATCGAGGCGTCATGTGACTTTATAGCATCACGCTGTCACGTTGCACCATGTCGTCGAGTGACATCACAGTGATGTGACCCCATGTCGTAACGTGACAGCATATTCAGTGCTCCTAGTGTTTTATCAGCTTGATGAAGCTAGAGTAGTATTGGTGATGAATATAACTTTTTTTTCCCTTCCTCTTGCATAAAAAAATGAATTTTCGCCGCCCATTCGTCTGCACCGGAGTACCGAAAACAGAGTGTGGAACAGTTGTTTTTCTCTTCCCAAATCTTCCTCCCACTTCCTACACATTTCGTACTGCTCGGTGTTTTAAAACCGTCTCCGTCGGGCGAGTTTTGGGGCGCATATTCCTCGGTTCTCCGGTTGGCTTCTTCCCCTTCGAAGTTTTCAATTGCGAGAGCATTTTTCAGCAAACCTTCCTCATTTAAAGCGCCGTTCACACTCTTGCGACCGAGTAAGACCGATAGAAACCAGACCGGTTTTTAAGCCTTTTGCGACTTCTTAGGACCGTATGCGCTGCAGCGGAGCTGGTCCTAAGAGATCGCAAGAGGCTTAAAAACCGGTCTGGTCTCTCTCGGTCGTACTCGGTTGCAAGAGTGTGAACAGGCCTTTAGTGTCTCTCCTAGTGTATGTAACGAACGAAGCCACCATGGACTGCTGTTTGTTCTCGCATATCTTCGATGTACCCGGATTTCTCCGAAGAGAAATATCTCGAGGGCATGAATCATTAACGGGGCGGGACGTCTTCCTGATTTGGAAGGTAATTAGAAGATCAAGATTCAGAAAATGGATAACCCGTTTGAGTAACATGGAAAGAACAAGTTTTAGCCTCTCCACTCTGGTGAACAAGGAAGACCAGCGAAGCTGTACTACGGTGGGAATGAAGTAATGGCCGGCCGCAAGTCGTCAAGCCAGACTGGAAAGGCTGGAGATATTGCCGCCATCTGTCAGGGACGGCGAAAACCACACAACCGGCACGCCGGTTGTCTGGTTGCCACCGTCGCCTATAGATGGCGGTAGCTGCCCAGAATTTAGTGTCATCATTTGGTTGTTGAGGCACACGATACTCTGGAAACTAGCCCTTTACAGGCCCGCAGCAAAAAGTGGTTCATGTTGTGGACGCCCGCTCTGCCGCCTCCTGGCAGCCACCATACGCCGGCGTCTCAAGGCGGCGCGAGGACAAGCTGTTGGTGTTGTTCGTGGCTGAGTTTCTCTCCTTGAGATCATTTATAATCAACGGCGCTGGCGACGGCGGCCCCCTCCGAAGGCGCCCCAGCCTTGACGGCCTGCACGTGCGTCGGTGTTGAGTGTTTAAAATGACTATTTATTTTTAATAAAATAAAAAAAGGAACGAAAAGTAAGGCAATGAGGTAGTTTGTGAAAGCCGCTGAAACACATCGTGTGCGTCCGCTTGCAGTGAGATATAGCAAGCATTGCAGCGACGAAAAAAGCTGTTTGTTGCCTGGTCGAAGTCGTCAGATGAGAAACGAAACCTCGCGAACCGTGGCGCAGTGAAGCTAGCGGCCGTGATTCGGACGCAAAAATTGCAATATCAATGCGGAGAGGAGCCCCAGGATGAAGTGCGGGCAACCGGCATATCCTAGTTCAGCCCCGTGACTGTGTCTGGGGTACTACAAGGGTACTATGAACGATCTCTGTGATGCAACCAAAGATGGTGCCATGGTTAGGAATTACACGAGGCATGCACCACAATCACGTGCCTGTGGTGGCGTTCCGGGCTGGCGCCTGGTCAAGGGCTGTCGTGAGCCATGTATTAGAAATAGTTGAATTCGTTGTTTTTAACATTTGACGACGAGAAGTTACTAAGGGTCACTTCTTGTTAACGCGCATTGGCCGTGGTACCGAAGAAGTGTATCGCCAGCGTCACGCCAAAATATAGAACGTTTCTCGGGGGAAGGCGGTCAGGAGTAAGGCAAGTAGGTCGAGATTTTCGAACAGTATTTAATCGCGAACAATGCTGCGGCAGACAAGTGACAAGCCGTGTCCTGAAAACTGCCGCAGGCTAATATACTGACTGCTACGCAGACTG